CCTTAGCGGGTCGCCGTCGCCGCTCCGCCATCCCGGGGCTCCCGAGGGCACTGTTTCAGACACCAGCCTTCGGTGCCCGAAGTGCAGCGGCTGCCGCGTCTCCGTCCCCAAAGCCCCGGGAAACATCCGCCCTCTGGGGTAAGGGAGGATTCGCGTCCCGCCCGTGGAGCCGAAAACGCGGCTCACTGAAGAGCTCTGCCCCCAAACCGGCCAGGGAAGAAGCGTCTACCGTTGCTTCGGAGGCGATTCCCAAGCCGTCTCCACCTCTCTTCCTTTTTGAATGTGTGGAGGTTTCATTGGAGCTTGTCCAGCTCAAAATATTTAATGGTCAGATGGGCCAGTAAATGCCACCTCTTAGTCGGTAAGGCCACAATAGAGTGGGCCACCAGGTGTGGTCCTGCGGAAATAGTGATTTACTGAGATAACCTTTTCTTTGAACAGAGACGATGCTTACGGTACAAGGACAACCATTTCCTGGAACATCTGAATTGTAATTCAAGCTTGAGTTACCGACAAGTCAAGGGGCAAACATGTTAAACTCCACCAATGAACTGCAGTTTTCCAGCGAAAATACAGAAGAGATCTCCAGACTCGCTTCCCTGGCACTGTCAGATGACGCAACATCCAGCGAAAAAAACTCACCTGGTTTACTCGAAAAAACTGGTTATCCGGACTCTGTTTACGTTATGGCAGCAAACATCTTTCAGGGTATTCGAATCGAAAAGTCACCAGAGAAAGTCTTAATAAAGTATGGGAATGAACCCCTGCGGTCCTCGTCCGAGTCTGAGGATGAGTCCTTGCAGCGTTTATCCTATGAGTTGGCTTTCAGTGCCCTGAAATGTGAGTAGTACCAGTCTTGAAGATCAGCACTAAACGAAAATGACAGGATTTGTGGAGTGCAGTCCCCCCTTTTCGCCCCCTCTTACACATCATATTTTGTTTTCAGGCATATGCATATCTTTGGTCAGTTGCAAATGTTAAGGAATTAGGAGAGTTCCAGTAAAACAAGCTCTTTCAAGCCTGGTTTTCACTGTAGATTTTGCTTAGTGCCTTGTTCTTACATGTAATTCACAGCCATTAAATTGAACAAGGAAACAATTCCATTAGCAGGAAGTACAAGAATCCATTGAAGTATCCAAATACAGTTTATCTCTCTGTCCTTGGGTTATTTTCCATTCTCTATATTTACATCTTGTATTTTAGTGTGTGAACTTTCACAGATATAAAAACCAGTAAAGGGGCGGGGGAGAGAAACAGATGGCATACAAAGAAAAGGTGCAATATATTTAAAATAACAAAATTAAATCAACCCCAATAAAGACGGTCCCATTCATAGCCATTAGCTTTAATTTTGGGAGCTTGTGAATTTATTCCTCCAAACTTTCATAAATTCCGTTTTTGATTTGCTTCTATGATTTGAGATGCAATGTTTCGGAGTCCCTCAGTGATGGTTAATTAACAGCTTCTGAGTGTGGAGCTGACCCTGGGGCAGAACCACATGTTTTTCTAAGAGTAAGCAGTAACATGGCCTGGGGACATTTGTTTTTGTACTAGTTATAATTATACTATATTAATATAATATAGTACAGTATACTATAATTTAAACCCTAAAGTTTATATTGGTTTGTAAACTGACTCAATATAGTTCTAAAGAGAAGTTCCAGAAATGTTTGGAGTATTAGCAGCATATTGAAATGAGCATATGGCTTATAAAGAAACACTTTGAAAGTGCAACACTCATTTGCATATACATTTTTAGTATTAATACTTACTGGGACTCGCCCATCCTTGCACATAGGTAGTTAAAAGTTGTTTAGTTGAGTTCAAATGTCCCATTAGTTTCTTAGACATGATTTATATTTCTGGTTGTCTGCAGAGATGATGTAGTTCAACTCTGAAGCCGGGAATTTGTTAACAGAAAAATTTGTTTTATGTTAAGAGGCAACTTCTCTTTAATTTTCTTTGTTTCTTTGGCTTGTGATTTTTTTTTTCTTTTAAAATCTGTTTTAA